GACAAAAGGAAGGAGAGAGAGAGAGAGAGAGAGAGAGGGAGAGAGAGAGAGAGAGAGAGAGAGGGAGAGAGAGAGAGAGAAAGAGAAAGAAAACACATGGCCGGCAAGCCACTCCCACCAGGTCACATGGCTGACAAACCACTCCCACAAAGGAGGCCACACCCACAGAGTAGGTTCCAAAAACATTTGAAACCCACCACTGGCGCATTTGCACAAAAATAGGTCTGCACATGCGCAAAACGGGAAAACATTAAATTTGTGCAATTACAATTGTTCTCCGCATGCGCAGAACCAAAAATCAAGATGGCGGCCCCGTAGGAGAACCAATTTGGGGGCGTGGCTGGCCCGGGTCACTGCCGGTTCCAGCGACCCAGGCCACCAAATCACTACCGGTTCGGCCGAGCCAGACTGAACCTGTAGGAGCCGACCTCTGCTCACCTCCACTTTCCCCCTCTCCCTTCCTTCCGCTTCATTTCCTATTTCATCTTCTCTCCTTTCTATTTTGTATCGTAAAACCAAAACTTAATCGAGTTAATTTCCCCGTAGTTCGCTCCAGCATCCGACTGGCTCCAAGCATGATCTTCCTGCTGCTTCTCGCGCCCGGTTTGGTCCTTGGAGATGACAATGTCACCGCCGTCTGGGAAGAGGCCTCATCTACCCCCAGCCCCCTGGTAGACATGCAGAGGAAAATCAACGATCTGTGGCTGAATTTGCTCTACCCGCAACTCTACGACGACATCTTCAGGGCCAACCGGACGGCCTACGCATGTTGTGTCGCCAAGCCCAGCGGCAAGTTAGAGGAGGGCAAACTGAAAGTGACCGGGCTGGTTTTGTTCAAGCAGCTTTTCCCCCATGGAAAGCTGGAGGCCCTTTTTGACCTCGCCGGCTTCGCCGCGGAGACCTCGGCGAGGGCCATCCACATCCATCAATACGGCGACCTCAGCGACGGCTGCGATTCTGCGGGAGGCCACTACAACCCTTGGAAAGTCAATCACCCTCACCACCCGGGGGATTTCGGGAACTTTCACCCCAAGGGGGGCAACATTCAGAAACTTAAATTGAACCTCAAAGCTACCCTCTTTGGACCCCAGACCATTCTCGGACGCTCGGTGGTGATCCACGAACAGGAAGACGACCTGGGGAAGGGCAAGAACCAAGGCAGCTTGGCGCACGGGAACGCCGGCCTACGCCTGGCGTGTTGCGTCATCGGCACCTGTAAGAAGGAGCTGTGGGACAAGCATTTGCCCAAAGTTACGGCCAAGAGGAAGAAGAGGGTGATCAAAGCTGGGAGGGCTTGAGGGGGGGCTGACATCCCGGATGCCGATCGAATGCCGAGTTTGTATCCGTTAAGCGGGTTGCCACAGGCGTTTCCCTTTGGAAAATGTTAAAATAGGCCCCTCCCCTTTAGGGCATCTTTCCCTCTTTAAGCAGATTCATAATAAAGAACAGGACCAGCCTTTCAAATTTGATATTCATGCTTTATGATCTATATCAATCTCTGTCTCTATCTCTATATTATCTATATCTATCTATCTATCTATCTATCTATCTATCTATCTATCTATCTATCTATCTATCTATCTATCT